TCCTTCTTCCTTCTTCCTTCTTCCTTCTTCCTTCTTCCTTCTTCCTTCTTCCTTCTTCCTTCTTCCTTCTTCCTTCTTCCTTCTTCCTTCTTCCTTCTTCCTTCTTCCTTCTTCCTTCTTTCTTCTTTCTTCTTTCTTCTTCTTCTTCTTCATATACTATCACTTTTAGCTGTACTTAGCAGGAAGAACAGGGAAAAGCACATTTACTTGGCCCTGGCTGGGGAGCTCAGTTGGTTAGAGTGTCATCCCAATACGCACGCCAAGGTTGCGGGTTTGATCCCTGGTCAGGGCACATATAAGAGTCAGTCAATGAATGCATCAATATGTGGAACAACAAATCAGTATTTCTCTCTCTCTCTCTCCCTCTCTCTCTCTAACAATCAATTTTTAAAAAGTACATTTACTCAATTTTTCTTGAAGTAGAGGTCAGCTTACTTTTTCTTAAGAGAAAAAGAATACAGAGCTCATTTTCAGTCCAGATTAAAATTAAAGAACTTTTTACTTTTTTGATATTAAACTTAGGTATATTTTTTTGGTTAATAACATTGACATAATATTTTCTTGGTTTATCCTATAATTTACAAAGTAATAGAATGATAAAGTAAAACTAATAAGAATGATTGCCTTCTTTTAGGAAAAGAAACATTGGGAGTGTTACATAAATATTTCCCCATGTCCAGAAATAATTTTCTATGTGATTGTAATGGTTATGTAGCATTCCATAATTTGCAATGGCAGTAGGTTTTCATTATAATTGTCAATTTGATGGTGAAATTCTTCGATTTATTTTTTATGCACATCCATGGTTATCTGCTAAAGATATTTTTCTAGAAATTGAATTTTTGTGTTACAGAAGAGGGGTCACTAAAGTGTAAGGAATTCGGGGGATGACAATGAAAAGTCTTCCTTTTCACGCTGTGCATGGTAATACTATTTGGAGGCTGATGATTCTGACCATGCACAGCAACTTTCCCCTTATCATCAGTGCTCTACCCCTCCCCAACTCTTCCCAGATCTTCCAAAGATGAGTTAGAAATGTCCACATTCCCTGTTAATTTTTAAAATGTTTTTATTGATTTTATTTTATTTTTTTTAAATATATGTTTTTTTATTTCAGAGAAAAGGAGAGGGAGAGAGATAGAAACATCAATGATGAGAGAGAATCATTGATCTGCTGCCTCCTGCACGCCCCTTGCTAAGGATCGAACCTGCAACCATGGCATGTACCCTGACTGGGAATCAAACCGTGATCTCCTGGATCCTAGGTCGATGCTCAACCGCTGAGCCACTCCGGCTGGGCTGTTTTTATTGATTTTAGAGAGAGGGAGAGAGAAAGAAAAACATTGATGAGAGAGAAATATCAATTAGCTGTCTCTTGCACGCTCTCCTGCTGGGGCTCAAGCCTGCAACCTGGGCATGTGCTCCGACAGGGAATCGAAGCAGTGACCTCTCTGTGCACCTACTAGGGCTAGTTTTTTGTTTGTTTTTTTAAAATTTACTTGTTGCCTTTGTTTTCCTGTGGTTTTAAGAAGCTTCTATGTGTAAATAGATAAATGTTAGGATAAAAGGAAGTAAAAAGAAGAAAATATCAACACAAGTTTTAGAAGATAGGCATGCTGGTCAACAAACCTAACAGCTAGAAACTTTGAAGTCTGGATTTATCGCAGTCAGACACGTGAATTACAATGCCCCCACAGAAAAATCAATAATTCCTCTATAGTAAAGATTTCTTGATACTTGAGGGTCAACAAATCTTTTGGTAGATTTTAATATGGATAATGGAAACAATATCTTGAATTACAACCTTGTCATAAATGCTATTATAGGTCTGTGGCTATTTTTCTTTTTGAAAAGATTTTTCATTCAATGTTTAAGTAAGATTAAATACTACAAGATTTTGCTTGCTGTTGATGAGTGATAAGAAAAAGGAGAAATATAAATATCATCTGATTGGTTAATTAAAATGCATTTGACCCAGAGTTAAATTACTGTGATATACCAGTTACTTTGTGTGGGCTTAAGAGTTTTAGAGCAAAATACCTCTAAACAAAACTTACCATCTGAGAGTTGAGTACATGGATAATGGGTACATGAAATACTGCATAAGAAAGCTGATGGAGGAAAGTTGTGTCAGACTTTAGATTCTTTAGGCTTCTAACAGTTGGTTGCCATATGCAGGGATTTTGCAGCCATTTAGTTGTTTTATCTCTTGACTTTTCTGAGTTAGACAGTTTTAACCTATACCCACTAAGCAAGATTAAAGAAACACTTTACAATATAGATAAGCTAGGAAACCTAAAGCAGTCATACCTCCCCATTAGAGTTTTAGTTGAATTAAATCATAAGAGAAACAATGATTACTGCACATATTGTACTAGTCTCATTACATCTTTTGAGTAGAGTTTGCATTCCAAGAGTTTTCATCTTCACCATCATCTTGAGTCCTTAATCTACCTTCCCTTCCTTTTGAAGTCTTCCTCATGCTTTTCCACCACTTTTCTGGCTGGTTCTCTTTATTTCTAAGTTGCTAGATGGTGCACAACGTGAGTGTTCTGATGATATCAAAGAAGTCTGTGCAGGAGGAGCATTATGAAATAAGAAATTGCTAAGCAATATCCAGATGACAAGGCACATATATAGTACTGTTCTCAACATGTCCATATGGTTCCACTGGAAGAGTGTACCATGGATGTAGTTTGTCTTCCTGCTTGTGCAGCAGGCTGCCATGCTTTTTCTCCAGCATGTGCAGGGAACTGGTTTGTAAAGGAAGAACCATCAGGAAGGTTTCTCTTGCATAAATTCCCTCTTAAATTCTATTTCTTCCTGTTTTCAGTAAAGCAGCAGCTTTGGCACTTTCTACTTTTGCCTTTGTCTTTGGAAACAAGTAGCACTCTCTGCCTGGTACAGTGCAATCTGCTGTTTTATATGTCCTTAAACTGCCTTGTCTTCTGCCTTTTCTGTTTCTTTTCTCTCCTTACATTCTGTCAACATTTCTTGCTTTTTTTAAATATCCAACATTTCTTTTCCAATTTTCCTCCTCAGTTTCCTTCTTAATCTCTTTGTCCTTTTACTTTTCTTTCTTCAAGTGTTTTAGTTAATTTTTTCACTCTGACAGTGAGGTTCTGGGTATGTCTCTTATTTAAACATTGATTAGGCTTCTGAGAAGGAGTAACATGTCCTGAACTTTCTCTTCCTGTTTCAGTATATGACTTTGTAGAAGTGTTATAGGGTTTAAATGAGGGATAAAAACAAGCTAAACTTTCTGACTGGTTCCCATTTGCAGCTGATGTTTCAACTTCTAGTGAGTGTATCTTTTGGTATTGATTTTAACAGCAACAGAACTTTTTGAGGATGCTTCTGTCACTTTGTCATCTTCCCAACCTGCAGCCATCTGTGTAGACTGCTCATCATCACCTGCCGTGAACACCATGAAGACCATGTTGTGTAGATTGCTCATCATCACCTGCCATGAACACCATGAAGACCATGTTGTGTAGATTGCTCATCATCACCTGCCATGAACACCATGAAGACCATGCTCTGATGGCGACCTGAGTGGTGCTCAGGAACCACAGCATCACTCCCCTCTCCTCTGCTGTCTGTTATAAGGACACTTGTCATTGGATTTAGGGTCCACTCAGGTAATTCAGGATATCTCCATTCAAGACCCTTAACTACATATGCAAAGATCCTTTCCCCAAATAAGGTAACATTCACAGAGTCCGGGTGTTAGCATATGGGCATATTTTTTAGGGGGCCAACATTCAACCCTTTACAGCCCATCCTCTGGTCTCCAAATTCATGTTTGTCCCATGTACAAAATAAATTCACCACATCTCAACATCCCCCAAACCTATTATAGCATCGACTCTAAGTCCAAAATTTCATCTAAGTATCAGCAGCTCAAAAAGCCCTAGATCTTATTATTTAAACCATCTAAGTCAGGTATGGATGGATTTAGACTGGGTATAATCTATCCTGGGGCAAACTTTCTTTCCTTCTGTGAATCTGTGAAACTAGGAAACAAGTTATCTGTTTCCAGGATACAACGGTGGATCAGGCATAAGATAGACATTCCCATTCCAAAGGGAGAAACTGGAAGGAATCAAGGGGTCACTGGTCTCAAGCAAGTTTGAAATTCAGCGTGGCAATTCCATTAGCTTTCAAGGTGTCTGAGGGTGGAACACCAGTGTAGTGACCACTGTAATGAGAGAGTTTCTTGAGACCAAAAAATGATACAGGCAGCTCCATAGATTATAACATAATGTGTTGTAAGTTTCTTACAGGAATAGGATTGGAGTGGACAGGCAACTCAGCAATCTGTGCAGATATTCTTTGCTATTGCTGTTACACTACATTTTTTATAGTATAGCTTAGGTATTAATGATTGACAAGACAAAGGGACGAAGAATGTAGTATGTATCAGGAACCATACCTCCTGGTGGTCTTGTGACAGATGATTGTTTAGAATTGATGCTAACACTAGTTTGATATTTACCTCGGTTGTCGTACCATTCTGGCCATTACCGACAAGAATCTTTACAGCTACACTGTGTAGGTTTAAGAAACATAGGTCATCATTAACTATAAGGCTTTGGTATGCTGGTTAAGAACAGTGAGGTTGGTCAGAGTTCATAGCATGAAAAACTTGAATAGAAAAGAAATCAGGAACACAAAGATGGAGTTAGTTTTGTTTACAGCTATATCTGTACACAGGGTCTGAAAATAACTCTTTGTGGCTTAATGCTCTGCCTCTGGGCCTGTCATGGCTCCATCTTTTGGACCTGTGGCAACACTTTCAACCCCTCTACTGCCTAGTGCCCCTTTGGCCTCTACCTCTGGGCCTGCATCGCTACCCTCTGAATCTACCCTTGAAGTCATTCTTCTTTTGTTTTGCAAGGTAGCATGTGTTTACAGCTAGGTAGCTCCATAAGACGGTTTCCTACCTGTAAAATTTTAGAATCCTGACAGCCTTCTCTTATTTTGTCCTGTATCTGTCCCTTTCAGTTCAAGCTTGCAGTGTTTCTGCACATATAACATTCTCAAAAGCCTTGTGGCTCTCCAGTATAGGTCCCCATTAGGCAAGAGATCTTTACTGGATAATCCCATCTCTATTCTAGATGGTTCAGTGGGTCCATGAGTCACATACCTAATCTCTTCAGAAAAAGATGATCTAGCCACACTCTTGGCTTTCTCTCCATAGCACTAGTTCCTAACAGTGAATTTTCTAATTTTAGCATTCTTTACAATATGGGTAGGCCAAGAATATCCCAAATCATCAAGTGTTGGTTCCTTTTTCCTTAATAGTTCCTTAAGTAATATATTTCTTTTATCTCACCTTTTACTATAAACAGCAAGACAAAACCAGGCTACACTTTGAATACTTTGCTTGAAAATCTCTCAGCTAAATGTCCAAGTTCATTCCTTATAAGCTCTATTTTCCACACAACCGTAGAACACAATTCTGTCCAGTGTTCTGCCACTATATAACAAGGATAGTCTTTCCTCCAGTTTCCAATAACATGTTCCCTATTTTCATCTGAAATCTCACCTTAGAAGCACCTTTAACGTTCATATTTCTATTAACATTCTGTTCATTATGATACACATATTCTCGAAGATGATAGAAGCTGTCTACTGTCTTTCTCACTTCCTTTTGAGCCCTCTGCAGCAGTGCTTTTAATGTCCATATTTCTTCCAATAGTCTCTTCAAGGCAATCTAGGCTTTTTCTGTCACAGCCTGAAAATTCTTCCATATGCTATACATTATCCCAAGCTAAAATCACTTCCACATTTTTAGGTATTTATTACAGTAGTACCTGATATCTCAATGAAATCTGTGTTAGTTTCCAGGTCTGCCATAACTAATGACCAAAATCTTGGCTTTAAACAACAAAAATTTATGTTCTTATAGTTCTGGAGGCCAGAAGTCTGAAATCAAGGTATTGGCAGAGCCATGGCCCTTCTGAAGGCTCTAGGGGAGAATCCTTCCTTGCCTCTTCTAGCCTCTAGTGGTTCAGAGTGTTCTTTGGTTTGTGACTGCATCACTACTTGTGGTTTCAGGCATCTACTGGGGGTCTTGGAACATGCATGTGGATAAAGGGTGGGGAAGTACTGTATATATAGCCCATTGGTAACAGCTAAATAAACTGCTTATCTTCATAGTATTTGTTTCCATATTTGTCTCCTTCCATCAATGTACCAACAGGATTTGCCCTGAAGAACATTTGTATATAGGGCGGATGCTGCTGTGGCCACTGACCTTCTGCAGTTCGTGCTTCAGGACCTGCAGGAACTCCATCTTGTCCCGCAAGTCTAATTGAGTCTTCAGAAGGCCATTCCATCATTCTATCAAGCCAGCTGCTTCAGGATGGTGGGGAACATGGTAAGATAAGTGAATTCCTTGAGCTTGGACTCATCGTTGCACTTTGCACTTCATTTACTGCGAAGTGAGTTTCTTGATCAGAAGCAATGTTGTGCGGAATACTATGATGGTGGATAAGGCATCCTGTAAGGCCACAGATGGCATTTTTGGCAGAAGCATTGAGTGCAGGGAAGGCAAGTCCATATACAGAGTAACTGTCTATTCCAGTAAGAACAATGTGCCACCCTTTCCATGGTGGAAGCTGTCCAATAGAATCAACCTGGCTGATCACCCTGGGGAATGGTGCCATATCAGGGACTCAGTGTTGTTCTTTGCTGCTGGCAAGTTAGGCACGCTGCTGTAACCAGGTCAGCCTTGGTGACTGGAATTCCATGTTGTTAAATCCATACATAACTTCCATCCCTGTCACCATAGTCATTTTGGTCATGAGCCTACTGGGCTCCCATCCTTGTTAGTATAAGTTCCAAACACTTTGAGAATCAGGTTTGATTGTGAATCATAAGGGTCCAAAGACATCAAGAGAGCTATTGTTGTTTGCAGTTCAGACATAGCTTACTTTCTTTCAGGGCCTTATTCAAATACGGCCTTCTTTTAGGTAGTTTTATGGAGAGGAGCTAGCAATATTCACAGATGTGGAATATGCATCTTACAAAAATTAAAGGCACCTGATCAGGTACTGTTTCTTGCTTAGTACCAGTGGTAGGCAAGAACAACAGTTTATTTTTTGTCGTCTGTGGAGTGTCATGGAGGCTCCTTCCCAGGGTATTCCTAAGAATTTCTCTTCTCCTCTCCTTGGGCCCTTAGATTTTTATTGGATTTATCAGCTGCCTTCTGTTGAGCATGTATGTCACTATTGCATTTACATCAGTCTAGCTTGAGCTTCAGTATCTGATATCATCAATGAAGTCTATTATTATATTTTGGACCTGCATCAAGTCCAAATCTCTTCTAACCAAATTATGACAGTTGAATTATGACAGCTGGTGAATTAAAATAATACTTTGCCCGGCCGGGTGTGGCTCAGCGGTTGAGCGTTGACCTAGGATCCAGGCGATCGGGGTTCAATTCCCAGTCAGGGCACATGCCCGGGTTGCGGGCTCGATCCCCAATCGGGGGCGTGCAGGAATCAGCCGATCAATGACTCTCTCATCATTGATGTTTCTATCTCTCTTTCCCTCTCCCTTCCTCTCTTTGAAATCAATAAAGATATATTTTAAAAAAATAATATAAAAAATAATACTTTGACAGTGCTGTAAATGTAAATTGGGATCCTTCCCATGTGAAAGCAAATGGCAGTTGACTATTTTCCAGTATGTGAGAGAGAGAAAAGCATTGCAGAACCAGTCTCCTTTAGCTTCCTGTATTTTCAGTGTTGAACCATATTAGGAACTACTGATGCTATTAAGTGCTACTAATTTATTTAAACTTTGTTAGTCTCCCTGAGCCATCCATTTTTTTCATGGGCCACATAAGGCTATTCTAAGAGAATTTATTGGACCAACATTCTACCTTCTGATATCATTAATTAAAATGGTAATCTCTTTTTGTCCACCATGTATTCTATACTGCTTTAAAATAAAAACTTATATGGGCTTGCGCATTTCTAAAGATTCTCATTTATCATGTGCAATTCATATGGACCAAAAGGTGAACTTATATTTCTTCTGTTTTACAATGCCAGATAGAAGTGTTTCCCAGTCAGACATATCCAAGTCAGTAATATATTTAGATGAAGAAGATGTAAGTACTTCACATAAAATCCACTCGAACATTCCTATTTTCATCCTAATTTTCACCTTAATTCCATCAATTGTTCTATCTCTATATCCTACCAATCTAACTATGGCCCTTATTAGGACTTCATTAATAGATTTTGGAATCACAGTATATTATTTTTCTGTGTCAAAGAGTCACAGAAAAGTTTCTTCTTTATTCCCTGGCCATTTTGCCCACACATGCTCATATGGCCTTGGGTTCCCAGCTGGGTGTTGAGCCTGGCTGGAGACCAAGATAAACCCTGAGTCTATACTCATAATAAATGAATGAATGAGAGAAAAGGGAAAGCTTTTCCTTAATGTCTAATGACAATTACTAATGTGGAAAGAATGATAGAATTTGAAAAATAACCATTGTAGCAATAATTGAATCAAGAAATAATCATTGGTGGATGTCAAACTATTGGTTGAAAGTTTAATGAGGAATGAAATAGTTATGTAATCTCAATTTATGTCTCCACAGATTACTCATTAATTACATAGGGAAAATTGGAAATTTTACAATGGAGAAATCTGATAGACACTACCTTAACTGAATGATGAGAGAAAAAAAATTTTCATTTGGAAATTCCTTATAATCTTACCTTCTGGAGATCATATTAGGCTTAACAGTCCAGTAAACATCCTTCTGGAATGTTGAAGCTGTTTTGGATATGACTGTCCAATTGTTCCAGAGATATTTGTTGAGAAGAATATCCTTTCCTCACTGAATATCCTTGACACCTTTCTCAGACAGCAATTGACCATATATGTATGGGTCTATTTCTAAACTATATTTTGTCTCACATATCTATCTTGACAAAAATACTGCAGCATAAGTCTTGAAATTAGGTAATGCACATCTTTTCCCTTTTTTTCAAAATTGTGTTGGCTATTCTAGGTCCTTTTTATTTTCATATGAATTTTATGATCAGCTTGTCGATTTTTAAAATATATATCTATTGATTTCAAAGAGAGGAAGGGGGAGAGAGAGAGAGAGAGAGAGAGATAGAAACATCAGTGATGAGAGACTCACTGATCAGCTGCCTCCTGCACGCCCCCCACCAGGGATCGGCCTGCAATTCGGGCATGTGCCCTGACCGGGAATCAAACTGGGATCTCCTGGATCTTAGGTCGATGCTCAACCTCTAAGCCATGCCGGCCAGGCAGCTTGTCAATTTTTAATTCTTAAATTTCTTTATTGATTGTGATCAATGTTGTTTGTAAAATTTTTATTTTAAGGAAGCTACTGAGACTGTTTTTTTGTGAATGTTCCATGTGTACTTGAGAAAAAGTATATTCTGTATGATCCGAATGTAGTGTCCAACACACACACACACACACACACACACACACACACACACACACACACGCACACTAAAAGTTCCACAGTATTAATTATGTTGTTTAAGTTTTTTATATCGTTACTCTTTTTTTTTGGTCCACTTAATCTGTTTAATTCTGTGAATGGTATGTTAAAAGTCTCCCATTAGAGAATGTTTCTATTTCTTCTTGCCTTTCTGCAGGTTTTGGTTTATACAGGCTTTTGCTGTACTACTTTGTGCATAGGTATTCACAAGTGTCTGTATTGCTATATCTTCATTGCTTTCAACATTACAAAGTATGATATAATTGCTTTTGTCTGATATAACTGCTTTTGGATGTTACTTTGTCTGGTATCAGGATTTTCACCCCTGCTTTTATATTGTTTTCATTTGGTAAATCTTTGTCCATTTCTTTAATTTTAGACTTTTTGAATGACTGTGTTTTAAGCATTCTCTTGTATATATAGCATTGTGTTGGGTTCTGCTTTATGAGGCAATGTGAACACTTTTTTCTTTTAATAGGTGAAGTAGGCCCATACACATTTATTTGTATTACTGTTTGGTAATATAAATAATACAAATATGTTTGGTTTCAATTATTTCATTTTAAATTATGTTGTAATTACTTTGTGTATTTGTTATGTTTACTCTGTTTCCTTCTCTCTTGAGTGTTTTCTTTAAATTTTTTTGGTAACCAAGAAGGTTTATATTTTTATGCTGGGGAATACCTTTGAGTTAATACTTTTTTTCTTTCTTTTTATTTACTTATTTACTTATCAAAATTGTATATATTTACCGGTTGCCCTGTTTCCCTCAAGATTGAGGAATGAACAAATGGGGGAATTGTAACCGAGTGAAATGCATGGCCTCTGTGAATCCATCTTGTTCCAGCCTGCTTTGTTCCCATGGCCTTCAGGTTAATAGCTTCTGTTTAGTCTTGCATATAGACATGCTAATCATTAGACAAATTCTGCCCGTGGCTTGAGTTTTACAAAAACAGCCCCTCTATTTCCCCTTCCCTTGACAGAAGGGAAGCCTGAAGTCTGTACTTTTTTCTTTTTTTTTCTAGTAGAGAAAATAGTAGAAAAAATTGTAGTCTATACTTTTTTAAGATGGATTTGAGGTATCACTAGGGTGCCCATCTTCTTGGCTGGCATCTTCTTGATTCAATAAACCTTTCCTTACTCCCCTCCCCAAATTGTATATATTTAAGGTATACAACATGATGATGTGTATACATAGTGCAATGATGACTGTTGTCAAGCTAATTAACATATCTCCTCACATAGTTACCCTTTTTTTTGTTTGATGAGTGCACCTGAAATATACTCTCAGCATATTTCCATTGTTCACCACAGTATTATTAAGTATGGTCATCATGCCTGTACATTACATCTCTAGACTTATTCATTCTACGTAACTGTAACTTTGTCCTTTTTGACCAACATCTCCCTATTTCCCCCACACTGGGTAACCACCATTCTACCCTCTGCTTTTATAAGTTTGACTTATTCTTTAGGCTCCACATATAAGTGGAACCTTATAGTGTTTGTCTTTCTCTGTCTCATTTATTTCACTTAGCATAATGCCCTCAAGGTATATCCATATTGTTGCAAATGGCAGGATTTCTTTCTTTCTCATGGCTGAATAATAATCTATTGTATATATACCACATCTTTTTTATCCATTTATCTTTCAACAGACACTTAGGTTATTTCCATGTGTTGGCTGTTGTGAATAATGCTCCAGTGAACTACCTGCTAATAATGCTAATAATGCTCCAGAATCACTATCTCTTCAGTATAGTGATTTCATTTTCTTTGGTTATTTACCCAGAAGTAGGATTTCTGGATCATATGGTAGTTCTATTTTTATTTTTATTTTTATTTTTTTAATTTAAAAAAAAATCTTTATTGATTTCTGAGAGAGGAAAGGAGAGGGAGAGAGAGATAGAAACATCAATGATGAGAGAGTCATTGATCGAGCCCACAACTGGGCATATGCCCTGACTGTTAATCGAACCCTGATCGCCTGGATCCTAGGTCAACGCTGAACCGCTGAGCCACGCCCGGCCGGGCTCTATTTTTAATTTATTGAGGAACTTCCATATGTTTTCCATAATGGCTGTATCAATTGACTTTTTTCTTATTAATCTTTTATCATCTAATTTGTCTCTCAGCTAGTCAATGATCTTATTCAGCTTTCCCCTTTTTCTTTCTCTTCTCCCATTTTTTTAATTGCAGTTTTTCTACTTTTTCAGAACACTTAATGTTTATATGTTATCCTTCAATCATGACCCCAACCTTATTTTAGTCTTAGCTTTACGGTTAAATGTATGACATGCTCATTGTCAGTTCTTTTGCCAAAATTTTTGCATTCATCATTTTTGGTTGGATGAAGGTCATTGTTTAGCATCATGCTGTGCAATAGAACTTTCTGCAATAATGGGAATGTTTTGTGTCTATAATGTCTAGTACTGTAACTAGCCACATGGGGAAATGTGCCTAATCTGACCAAGGAACTGAATTTTAAATTTTATCCCATTTTAATTCATCAAAATGTAAACTTAAATGGCCACATGTGGCTAATGGCTACCATATTGGACAACACAGCCCTAATAAATTCCTTAGGAAGGGCACACATGTTCTGGCACATTCCCAACTGTTTTTCTAAAAGCCTTGATACTTGAAGGGTATCTTGGCTGGATACAATTTTCTTTGCTTATACTTGCTTTCCTTAAGTTTCTTGAAAATGTTGTTCTACTATTGCTTTGCTTTGTATGTTGTTTTTGAGAAATTGATGCCGTTCTAATTCTTTGCCTTGTAAGTTATTTCATCCTTTTGCCTGGAGGCCCTGAGGAATTTAATAGTTTTTAATAAAGCTATTAAATTCTAATAGTTTTATTAGTATATGTCTCAGAGTTTATTGTTCCAGGTCAAATTTTTGGTACCCATTGGGTCCTTTAATTGTGTTGAGGTTTGTTTTATGATCCAGGATATGGTCTAGCTTGAATATTCCATGTGTACTTGAAGAAACTGTTAATATCTTTATTTTTGAGTGGAAAGTTTTGCAAAGTCAATTGGTTGATCAAAGGTATTCAGTTTTTCTATATCTTTTTTGATTTTCTGTCTGTCAGTTCCTTTTATTACTAAGAAGTGTTGAAAGTTGGAAGCTATAATTGTAGATTTGCCCATTTCTCCTTTTGGTTCTTTCAGTTTTGCTTCATGTATTTTGAAGCTCTATTATTAAGGCAATCTTCCCCACACTCCTGCTCCCAGGGATCCTCCTTCTTGGTCCTCTGGCTGGCTTTATTTTCTCTACTTTGGTATTCACTTTCTGCAACCAAGCTTTGTCCTTGGGGCTAAGTGGTGGGAGGTTAGAAAAAGGCAATGGGGATCTTTCCCACACTCTTCAGAACACTATTCCTCTGGCCAAAGGAAAGGATTCTTCTCCCTTAGAGTTTGAGGCACCTACTGCTGCACGGTTGCAGCTTTGGCACTGGGGCTTATTTTGGGGAAGGGCTGCATGAGAAAAAAAGGATTTCTCCTATTTTCTCTGGCCCACAGGAGCCCTCCTTCAATCTTCATGTCATATTGGTGTCCCCACTGACTCTGTTCTTGGTGCTTCTTTCAAGCTCTGTGTTCTCTCTTAGCCATCCATTTATTCTTGCGGCTTCAGCTAGTACTAAAATGCTATTGCTTGCCAGTTCTTGATCTATCTCATTCTCTCCTGAGCTCCAGAATCACTTGCCAGTTGGACATCTCTATTAGTATGTACCACAAATAGTCCAGCTCAAGTCCAAGATCTATCTCAGTTTCCCCTTTTGCCAACCCGTGTTCTCTCCTGTCTTGCTAATCTCAATATATGGCACTATACGGCACTAGCCTCAACCCAGCTGTTCATGCTGTTATCTTAGGAGTAATGTTGTCTCCCTTTCTCTCACTCAACACTACTTTTGTATAATTTATAAATAGAAATATATTGTGGAAAGGTCAGAAAATATTCTGATGGTGTAAGGAGTCAAGTATTTTGGAGACTGATCTATAGAAAAAAAAGTTGACAATTCTTCCACTATCTGGCCCCAAATGTCTCTATAGCTCAGTGAATTTCAACCTTTTTCATCTCATGGCACATAAACTAATTACTAAAATTCTGCGGTACATCAAAAATATATTTTTTGCCACTCTGACAAAAGTAATAGATATAATTTTGATTCATTCACACTGGACAGCTATTGTTGTGTTGGCTGTTGTCTTTTTGTTTATTTATTTGACAATCTAAAGGAAAAGAGGTCAGTGCCTCTGACTAAATAGTCAGGTACTTATTACGTATTTTAAAAATTCTTGTGGCACACCAGTTGAAAATTGTTGCTATAGCCCTTTATCTCATCACAGCCTAAAGCACTATTTTCCTGTCATACTATGCTATATGTAGTTTTATAGCTCACCATGTGTGTTTTGTGTCTTCTTGACCTTTCTTATGGTATTGCCCCATATTCATGAGGGAAATGATACTCTTATTTAAGGATTCAAAGTGCTGCCTCCCCCAGTGAAGTTCAATCTGATAACGCAAAGTGGAATCTAGTTCTCTCCCTCAGAAAGCCTATAGCACCCTGTACAGGTCCAGCATAGCTCTTGTAACACCTCATCACAGGGATGTGTTCATGTACAAGTATCCTTACTGGGGTATGAGCTCTTTGAGAGCAGGCACTCCTTCTCTTTTCTTTTTGTTTCCCCAGTAACTGGGACAGGTCCAAGTACACAGTGTTAACTCAGTATTAAGTGTTTTTTTCTTCATGAATTGATAAAGTAACATAGAAGCAGGGCTGCTCTGGACCACCTCAAAGTATAATATCAAGCAAGATAGAGTCATGTGTCTAGTGTAGTTTTTCTAGTCAATTCTCAATGGTGCTTTATTGAGAGAATTAGCTCCCAAACATCTTTTCCATGTGTCCCATTCTGATCATTGCAGATTGTTGTTACAGGGATTTGTGTCTTTTGAGGACGTGGCTGTGGATTTTACCCAACAGGAGTGGCACAGACTGGACCCTGCTCAGAGGACCATGCACAAGGATGTGATGCTGGAGAACTACAGCAACTTGGCATCTGTGGGTGAGAAATATTGTCCGTGTAACTCCTGGTAGCATGTGTTTCCTATTTTGGTTGCTGTAATGTGTACAGCCTTTGTAGAGTTTAATGATACTTTAGTTTTAGATTTAAAGGTCACAGCTGATTGATCAGTTTGGGGCACCAGGGAGAATGTGTGTGTTCTCACTTCCCCCAATGAAAGGTTTAAATGGGCCCCCTTCCTTGTGCAGCTCATGAAGATGCACCTTCCTCCTCCATCAGAGGCCCTAAAGCTCAGACAACTTGGCCCACGTCCTGTGCCATTTCCCATTAACAGGCCTCTGCGTGGCCAAACCAGAGATGATCTTCAAGTTGGAGCGAGGGGAAGAGCTGTGGATATTAGAGGAGGAATCCTCAGGCCATGGTTACCCAGGTGAGCAAACAAGAACTAGATATATGGATAAGAGGGGAGATAAGAGCCCAGGAATTCAGGTCTAAGGTTATCTTTCAGCAGTATTTTTCAGGAATCTTTCTTTAGAGGTCCTTGTTCTTTGAAAATGACTGGAGGACAGAGGTCTGTATGCTTCAAATGCCTAAATCACACATCCCAATATCATGCTCACACTTAAGTGCTCTCTCCTATTTTATCTTGATTTTTATGTTTATTTACCACTCTTGTCTATCCCTGCCTGCTACATTTTAGACATTTATCCTTAGCCAGTCTCTCTCTCTTTAATATTCTCAATGCCTTCCTTCTCTCCATTACCTTGGATGCCTTCTGTTGTAAGCACTCATTTATTCATGAGTGTCAACTATATGTTGGTCATGTTCTAGGTGTGTGGATCCAGCAGTGAATAAACTAATATCTCTGTTCTCCTGGAGCTTGCAATTCTACATGAGGGAAAGAGACCAGAAGCAAACAAATGCATAATGTTTGTAGTGAAAAGAAAACCAATGCAAGATAAGAAGGATAGACAATGATGGGGTGTATGCTTTTAGGGAATGTGGTCAGGGAAGACTTTTTGGTGAGGTTAACATCATTGCACCAACATCAGTGAAGTGAGAGAGATGGAGCCATGTAGATTTTGAATATTCTGGGCACAGAGATCAGTAAATGGCAAGCCAAGTCTGAGTGATATTTTCTAGTAATAGCAAAGAGATCAGTGTGGCTTAAGCATGGGTGGTGAGAGTGTTAAGAGGCGATATCAGAAAGTTAGCTGGGAGCCAAATTATGTAGAGTTTTATAGGCTGTGTTAAACACTTTAATTTTATACTGTGGCAGGGAAAGCCATGGCTGGGTTTTGAGTGAAAGAGTGATACAATCTGATTTGTTTTAAAAGGATCTCTCTCACTGCTGTGTGGCAAGAATTCTGTTGGGAATAATGCCTTGAGGCATGATAATGACCTTCTTCAGCATCAGAAGATTCAAACTTTGGATCCAACTATTGAATATAATGGATATGAGACAGTCTTCTACAAGAAAATGGGCTTTGTGGAACATAAAAGGACACACACAGGAGATAAAAACTTTGAATGTCATGAATGTGGAAAAACTTACTGCAGGAAATCAAACCTTATTGAACATCTGAGAATACACACAGGGGAGAGACCCTATAAATGTAATGACTGTGCAAAAACATTTAGTGCAAGATCATACCTCATTGCTCATCATAAAACTCACACAGGGGAGAAGCCCTTTGAATGTAGTGAATGTGGGAAATCTTTTGGTAGGAAGTCACAACTCATTCTACATCAGAGAATACACACAGGAGAGCGACCCTATGAATGTAATGAATGTAGGAAAACCTTTTCTGAGAAGGCAACCCTCACAATTCATCAGAGAACTCACACAGGGGAGAAACCCTATGAGTGTAGTGAATGTGGGAGAAAATTTCGCGTTAAGATATCCCTTACCCAACACCAGAGAACTCACACCGGGGAGAAACCCTATAAATGTGGTGACTGTGGGAAAAATTTCCGTGCAAAGAAATCTCTAAATCAACACCAGAGAACTCACACAGGCGAGAAACCCTATAAATGTGAGGAATGTGGGAAATTCTTTAGAATGAAGACGACTCTCAATAATCATCAGAGAACTCACACAGGTGAAAAACCCTATCAGTGTAATGAATGTGGGAAATCTTTCAGGGTGCACTCATCTCTTGGGATACATCAGCGAATTCACACAGGAGAGAAACCTTATGAATGTAGTAAATGTGGTAATGCCTTCTATGTTAAAGCACGCCTCATTGAACATCAGAGAATGCATTCAGGAGAGAAACCCTATGAATGTAGTGAATGTGGAAAAATCTTTAGTATGAAGAAATCCCTTTGTCAACACCAGAAAACTCACACAGGAGAGAAACCTTATGAATGTAGTGAATGTGGAAATGCCTTTTATTTGAAAGTACGCCTCGTTGAACATCAGCGAATTCACACAGGAGAGAGACCCTTTGAATGTCAAGAATGTGGGAAAGCTTTCTGCCGTAAGGCTCATCTCACAGAACATCAGAGAACTCACATAGGTCGGCACTTGCCTTATGCTATGGAGAAAGCTTCCCCGTGAAGACTCCCCTCACCATTTGAGCAAGCCCTTTGGACCGTCTGATCACCAGGTCACACAGAATGCACCTATAACAATTTGGCTCCTACACTGGTGTGAAAGTATGTGCCGATCCCCTTAGGGGATAGCTAGTTGTTTTTATTTTGTTTGAATTTCCCTAATTAGTGGTGAGGTTGAACATCTTCCTCTCTGCTGATTGCCTATTTGGGTTTTTCTTCTGTGCATTGACTATTCAAATCCTTTTGCTCACTGTTTTCTATGGGCAGTTTATCTTTTACCTCTTGGTTTAAATGTTGTTTTTTAAAATATATGAGGATATAAAAATTCTTTTTCAGTCATGTGTGTTGCAAAGATCTTCTCCCAGACTGTGGCTGGTTCTTTAATTTAGTTAACTCTTTTCTTCTGTTCAGATTTTATGTTGTAATATTGTCAGTTTCGAGGTGATAATACTCTTCTATGCTTTCCTCCAAAGTTAACGTTTTCCTTTCAACATTTAGAATTTTTATCTACCCTGAGTTTTTAAAAATGTATGAATTCTGCAATATATAATGCTATATTGCTTTTAAAAACTTTAATATATGTTATCACACTATGTCTAAACTTCTACAGCTTGCTTTTTAAATGAAATGCTTTCTTTCCAAGATCTATTCATGCTGATAAACATAGGTCTAGTTTATTCATTTATGTCTCCATTTCCCTAGTGAAAGTCATTTGTATTGTTTCTGTGTTCACTGTCTAAATCTAGAAGTGGAATTGACAGGTCATAGGGTGTAGGCAGTGTCCCACTTATTAAGCTATTGTGCACCAGCTCCAAGCCTGCCCTCCTATACTGTGCTTTGTGATGCTGGGGCCATGACTCTACAAAATACATTTCTGTCTTGCCAGATGCTCCCTGTTGGGCCTCCCTATTCATATGTGTCTCAGGCTAGCATTGCTTCTTCACTGGAGCAGTAGCAGTTCCTCAGAGTAGCAGCAGTTTAATCCAGTTTGCAGTTTTCCAGCATTCACACAACCTATGGTACCCCAGCCCCCTAGAGACCTTAGCAGCAACTGGCTGGTGCCACCTCCTTAGAGGTATGAGTCCCAGCCACATGAGACCTCCTCCTCCAACCTTCTAATTTAAAAAAAAAAAATCTTTATTGATTTCAGAGAGGAGAGAGGAAGGGAGAGAGAAAGATAGAAACATCAATGATGAGAGAGCTGTCATTGATCAGCTGCCTCCTGCACTCCCCTGACTGGGGCTCTAGCCCACAACCCAGCAGTCGAACCTCGATCTCCTGGATCCTCAGTTGATGCTTAACCGCTGAACCACACCCGGCCAGGAAAAAGCTAACCTTTTAATAGAAACTTTGCTCATATACATGTATGTACATATATATTTCAAAATATAATAACGTATACTAGGGGTTTACATATATGCTTATATGTAATATATATGTATGTATAAACATACACATACACAACTCCCAGAAACATTTCTGCTTTATACATTCATTTTGTTTACCCCCATATGCACCACCTTGGTTGCTCTTTATTCCTTTCTGCATTCCTTCCAAGATCGTTTTCTTCTTTGCCTGAAATAATACCCTTTAGAGTTTTCTTTAGTGGAGGTGCTTTAGTGGCAAACCTCAACTTTGATTATGTTTTCTATTTTGCATTATTTGATAAGCAAAAGCAGATCTTTTATCTCTAATATTTGGTGACACTATACCATAGTAAACTGATGCTAAATTAAATACCTTTTTTGCTTTTCCCCCTGAATGTTCCATAATGATTATGATGACCCAGAATATTTGAATTAATTATTAGATGCCCCAAATACAGCATACACTTGAATATACATATTACACTTTCTGCATTTTGTATACAGCATGCCCTCACCCCAATCTACTAAGTACTAATTAAATTTATTGCCTTGGTCTGTTTGGCTCAGTGATTAGAGCGTCAGCCTGCAAACTGAAGGGTCCCGGGTTCAGTTCCGGCCAAGGGCACGTACCTTGGTTGCAGGCTCGATCCCTGGCCCTGGTTGGGGCTCATGCGGGAGGCAATCAGTCGATGTGTCTCTCTCACATCCATGTTTCTCCCTCCCCCCCCGAAAAGCAATGGAAAAAATATTCTCAGGTGAAGATTAAGAAAATAAAGTAAATTTATCCATGCCATCTCATCAGTTCTTTCAATCTCCATCCCATCCACTTAAAACATTAAATTTGATGTTTTTTGTTTTGTTTTTTGCAGAACTCAGAGAAACGTTTTACTTAACATTCAGATGGAAAGATGCATAGGGCAAGGTATGGGGAAAGGATATGGAACTTTCATGTCCTCTAAGTGCACCTTTCTTCCCAAATCTCTATATGTTCACTGTCTTTGAAGTTCTCCAAAGCCTACCTTGTTGGGTGCTTATGAAGGTTTCATAATGCTGATTAAATCAGTGGACATTGGTGATTAAACTTAATCTCCAGCCCCACTCCCCTCCCAGGAGTTCTTTATTTTTCGGAATTCAATGGGGTGACATTGGTTAATACAATTATATAGGTTTCAGGTGTACAATTCTATAATACACCCTCTGTATATTGCATTGTGTGTTCACCACCCCAAGTCAAGTCTTCTTCTATCATAATTTATCTCCCCTATAACCTCCTCTACCTCCCCCATTTCCCTTTCCCTCTAGTAATAACCATACTGTTGTCGGGGTCTACGAGTAGGGTTTTTTTGGTTAATCCTCACCCGAGGATATTTTTTCCATTGATTTTTAGAGAGAGTGGAAGAGAGGAGAGGGAAGGAGAGAGAGAGAAAAAAAACATTGATGTGAGAGACACATTGATTGGTTGCCTCTTGTACAAGCCCTGACCAGGACTGGGGATTGAACCTGCAACCCCGGTATGTGCCCGTGACTGGAAGTTGAACCCTTTTGTTCATGGGTCAGTGCTCTAACCACTGAGCAACACTGGCCAAGGCTATGAGTGTTTCCTCCCCTTAATTCCTTTACCTTTTTCATCCAGCCTCGAAACCAACCACCCCCTCGACAGCTGTCAGTCTATTCTCTATCTATGAGTCTGTTTCTATTTTGTTTGTTTGTTTTGTTCATTAGATTCCACATATGAGTGAAATCATGTGGTATTTGTCTTTCTCTGGCTTATTTCACTTAGCATAATGCTCTCCAGGTTCATCCATGCTGTTGCAAAGGGTAAGATTTCCTTCTTTTTTATGGCCAAATTTGATGTTTTAAAATTATTATGGAAAATGTCAAGCATAAATAAAAGTAATCTATAATGATAGAAAGCACATCAGTGGTTGCCTCTGGGTTGGAAATTAACTCATAAGTGGTAGGAGGGAACTTTCTGGAGTGGTGAAACTATCCTGTATCAATTGGAGTGTTTGTTAATGAATGTATACAATAATAATCAAATGAGTAAACTTAATATCTGTACATTTTATTGTAAATTTTATCTCAATTAAAATTTAAAAACAACAATAAGCCCGGCCCATGTGGCTCAGCGGTTGAGCACAGACCTATGATCCAGGGGATCATTGTTCAATTCCTGGTGGGGGCACATGCCCGAGTTGCGGGCTCAGTCCTCAGAAAGGGGTGCGCAGGAGGCAGCCAATCAATAATTCTTTCACCATTGATGTTTCTGTCTCTCTCCCTCTCCTTTCCTCTCTCTGAAATCAATAAAGACATTTAAAAAAACCCCACAACAATAAAAAGTTTCCTCTTCCCACACCAGGAGCTGCCTGGGAGAAAACCAGGAATCTTGAGCACTAGATCAAATGAAAGACATTGGCAATGGGAGACTTAGTACTCCCAAGGCTTTAGAAGTGGTCTTACTCCATGAAAATGACCTTTACTGAGGCCCCATGATGGATCCTGCTGGCCCTCTTAGCTACTGTCACTTACATGGTCATGCCCCTACTGTGTGTATTTGAGTTTCAATAGCCTAGGCACGTCTCTCCTGATGCTCCACTAGCCCCCAGGACAGTAGGTTTTACCCCCAGGACATGTCATCACAGTGTCTATAAACATTCCATTAACTTACAGCAGTTCTTGTCACCTCCTTTAGCCTAAAGCACAATGTCTGCTGACCCACCATTAGCTCACAGCATCTTATCACTATTTTTTGCTCCAGCAAAGTCTGTTGACCGCCCCCCCATTCCTCATAGCATCATGTCTCACCACTTTATCTGCCATTACAACTTTTTTATTTAAAAAATTTTTATTGAGATAAAATTCACTAGATTCAGTTTTAACCATTTTAAAGTGTACATTTCATTAGTTTTTAAAATTTTCAATTACAGTTGGCATGCCATATTATACTAGTTTTAGCTGTACAGCATAATGATTAGATATTTATATAACTTATGAAGTGATCACCCCAATAAATCTAGTACCCATTACAATTTTTGCTGACCCCCATTTGCTCACAACATAGTCTCTTTTCACCCTTTTAGCCTCCAGTTTAGTGACTAATGATCCTCCATTAACTCAGGATCATGTCTTTTTGCCTTCCTTTAGATTCAGCATGGTAACTGCTGACCTCCCATTAGCTCACAGGGATGTTTTATTGCCTTTCTTTAGATGTAATGTAATGTCTTGTTTGACCCCACATTGGTCCTCACCATTTTGTCTATTGATTTCGCATTGACTACCATACAATATATTTAACCCGATGAGTTCTAATCACAGTTTCTGCTCATCCTACATTAGCTCTCACTGCTATGTCTGATTTTTTATTAGCCACCAGTACAGTGTCTTGATTCCCATAAACCCACAGTACAGCACAATTGCACCAATATTTATCTGCTGTTCTACAATTTGCCACCAATATGGTGACTTTGATCCTCCTGAGCTCCAGTACAATGTCTGTAGAACTCACATGACCCTGTCATGCAGTTTTCTGATTCCCCATTTACCAAGTTTCACATTTTTTGTTTTGTTTTTCACCTGAGGACCCATCGGTGTCTGCTTTCCTTAAAATAGCCCCCATGTATCTTCTGATCTTACATTATATCCTATCAGTGTATCTGCTGACCATACATTAATGTCTTCTTACTTATTAGTCACCTTCAGAGTATGACATTTAGGGCCCATCACCATGTTTTTGGTCCTTTCCGTAGTCGAATCACTGTGTCTGCTGAATCCCACCTGCTTTAGCCACTAGCATTGTGTCTTTGTCCCGTTGATGTCTGAATAGGGTCTGCTGACCCCACATCAGCCCCCATCATGGTGTCTGCTGATTTTCCATTAGCCAACAGTACAGTTTCTTTGACACCTGTGAGACTCTAGCATGTATTTGCTGAACTTACCTTAGCTGCCATCACTCTGGTGATTCCCACAAGAGCAGAGACTAACCTACATGAACTTCCAGCACACTATCTGTTGATACCACAGTAGCTTCACCTTGCTGACCACAAGTCAGCCATGAGTACAGTGTCTTTGACTCTCTTAAGTCCCAATCACAGTGTTGCTGACCCTGCATTAACTTGTCTTCACTGTGCCTGTTGATCCCCACTAGCCACTAATAGTGTCTAAATGCAGTGATTCCCCAGTACAGTGCATGCTGACCGTACCTTAGAACCCATCACTGTGTATGCTAACTCTATAA